AATGAAAATTACAGGCCTCTCTCATCTTTTTAAGTGGGAGAACTTGCACAATTGGTGGGTGACTAAATACTTTTTTGCCCCACTGTAAATGGAATTGTGTTCAAGAAATCCCTGGAAAAACCTAAGTCAAAACTGTCTTTCTGAAGAGCAAAACATACCTGGTGTCTTCACCACATGGACAATGGCCTTGTTGTTTGAAACAACAGAGTATGTGAAATAAAACCAACAGTCATCAATATCCTTCTCCTTGCAGTGAGTCAGTGCATCATATTGTCCAGGCTGCGGCAACTTTTCTCTACGGTCTACCAACTCCAAAGTAAAGTGAGAGCATTCCTTTTCACACCGTTCTTTCTTTTCTCCTTTGTTAAAGGCTTTGCACTGCACACAATCTCTATTTGCAAAGCAGATGAACCACAAATTAGTATAACACTACTAGAATACCACCCATTTTATTAGGAAGGTGTGACAAAAAGGGTAACCGTAAAGTTAAATAAAAGCTTAAATGTCAGGTTATTTAAACATTATGGATTTTTCCTTTTGTCCTTGACCACATAATCTCTTAAAGAAGATTCTGAAACACACTGGTGTCAATCTTACCATATAATCTTGCACTCCATAGCCATTACCCTAACTACATTTTTAACCGGTAGGACTACTAATTAAAGCAACATTTGAAAGGAAAGGTGGGGGGAGGAGGAGGAAAGAGATGTATAGGGAATGATCTCCTCCAAATCTAGCAGCTTATGCTGCTCACGATTTGGAGGGGGGGGGCACAGATTTGTTTGTCACTGTTCCCAAGGATTGTATTTAGGATTTTTTCCTTTCACTGAGGGAAAATGTCTGTTACAGAACCAGGCCCCAATTCCCTTTGCAGAAAACAAACGGGCTTTGGATCTAAGACATTCATATAGTGTCCCAGCAATACTTTCATTCCTACTCCAGCAAATTTTCTTTCCACTGAGATGGCAATCTAATGCTATTTTAACACAAAAATGCTCAACCCTCCCCTGACCATAACCAGGAGGCTGGTTAGCTTCTGCATGGAAGTGCCTCTAGTAGAACCTGTGAGGTTCTAGCATCCACTAACAGGAGGCGTTTTTTTCTCACAGATTTAGTTTCTGGATAAGAATGAATTCTAGAATGGCACTGAAGAAAGGCCTCCTGCAAGGTCTTTTTGCAATCTTGTAGGAAGCAATTATTTTTGCAATCTTGTAGGAAGCAGTTATTTTTATTATAAAATCAAGAACCGTACTTGTGCTCTGCACAGACGCCAAGACAAGTCTGACATAGCTCACACGTTGGGCCCTGAAATTTGGAATCGGTACAGTTGCATACTCCACAATCACATATTCCTCTACCATTGCAGATTTGCCCATTTGCAGCTTCACATGGAGTTGTATCTAGGGGGCACTCACAAGCAGAGCCACTGTAATTTGCCCAGCATTCACATTCACGACATTTACATTCACCGTGTCCTACATTTAAAACCAGAAAAGAAAATTATCCTAGTTTCAACATAAAAAATACACATATTACAACCGTCACACTTTCTTTTCAATTTCTATCCACTGGGGTAGATTTGAAGATACTTTTATAATCAAAGCTGCCCTCAGGAGCTGCTACTTGAATCCACAAAGTGGAGACAGCTGGAAGACTTCACATGGCTATTTTGAGGCCCTCCTGAAATTATCTTGGTTGTGTCTGCAGATGGCAGAAGATCAGAAGTCCTTGGGTGGGCTTAAGGCCACTGTATTGAGCCTTTATGTGGCAGCGCTACTTTTGAGGGTGGATTCAGAAGGGTATTTCTCTTGTGAATGAAGTGCCTCTTTGCACTTGCACAGAACTAAACCCAGTTCTGACATCTCATGAAAGCATGCAGGAAGATCACTACTATGCCTCTTTATTTTTAAAGAAGTAGTTCTCCTTTTTACTAATTAAAGAGATTCCAAAGGAAGAAACATGGATGATAAAAGGTCTTTGATAAACAAACCGTGCAACATCTACTTTGACATTATTTGAAATTTGCGTGTTAATGGCACTCAGGTTTCTCTGCCAAATTAGATCACTTTATACTGTACTGTATAACAAAATATAACAACATAGATGCATACTGTACTGCATAAGAAGTTATCATCAACAAGGTGTATATAGCACAGCTTGCAAAGGTTTTCTTTAAGAGACCCTTTTATTTCTGGGCTTATTATAAAGGATAACATTATCTATCCCTAAATCATCTTCCATGTATCACAGTTAGATACAAGAGCTTTATTCTGAAACCATCTTCTGAACATCAATTAAAGAAATGGAATTGTGTCAGAGAAGTTATTCCTAATCCGATCCCCGCTTCTCTCATTTACTAAATTCTACTTTATCATAGTAGTTTCAAGCTCTTTTCCTACTTCTAAAGCTCCCTTGATAGAAAAGGAATTCATTACCTCCGCAAATTAAACCATCGGATCGATCACAATTGAAGTTATCACACTGGCAATATGGGCCAGAATAGATTTCATTTGGATTCTCTCGCTTTCTGCACACACACTGTCCGCAAATACATTCACCATTGTTGCTACATATTTCAGAACTGTTAGCCTGCCTACAGGTGCCTGACATGTCTTCACTATTTACTTCTTCCATGCTGCATTCACAATGCTTTCCAATACGCCCAGGTTTGCACCTAAAAAGGAAAATGGACCACCATTAGGAATAGAAATCAAACAGCTGGAAAAAGGAAGACAACAGACTGGCTGGATCTGGCTAAAAATGCATTTAGCCCAGCATTATGCACCTTATCATGGCCAACAAGTGGCACCGGGAAGCTCACAAGGCTGGACAGGAGGACGACAGCCCTCTTCCACTGTGGTTCCCCAGCAGCTGCCTAGAATTCAAGATGTATCATGCTGCCATCAAGACCAGTGCCAACAAATTGGTGGCAACCACAAATATATACTGATTCCATAGATTAACTATGTGTTGTCTAAAAAACCTGTTCATTTTTAATTAGTCTTGAATCTCATGTTTACTTTCAAAAAATGACCCAAGGTGAGACGAGATGAGAAAAATTATCTCTGCCAACATTTTCTATGTATCTATCAAGGCCTGCCTTCCTCTCCTTCATTCTAGGCCTAAAGGAACACAATTGTTCTTTTAACCCATAAGGGAACTCTTCTAGCCTCCTAATCATCTCAGCTGCCCCTTTCTGAACTTGAGGATATACATCTACGTAACAGACTAAAGTTACAGATTTCTTCCATACCTGCAAGCACCACACTCAAATGTTCCATTTCCAAAATGGCACAAAGGGCTGTCTTCAATTCCTTCATTATGGCAATCACATTCACAAATGAACTCCAGATTAATTTCTACTTCTTCAGTGAAACCAAGTGGCTTGATTTTAATTGTTTCATTTTGCCCTTTTTCTGGACACTGGTTAGCTGTTATTTTAATCTCAAACCTAACCTGTCAATGGACATTGTAAACATAAACAGGCAATTTGTTCAAACCAATTAAAAGAAACAAGTACTAAGCTTATGCAGGACAATGCTATAATGTAACAATGGGCACATAAGAAGTCCCTCATGACTCCCGCACACCAAAGCTTACCTCATCTCCAATTGAAATGTTGGAGCATTTTCTTCCTTCATCTCCTGTTCCATTCACTCCATTTTTACAGAAAGATTTATATTCTATTGCTATCTCCTTAGGTAGTTTATTGTTTTCCAAAATAACTTCTGAAGATAATGACTAAAATAGAAGTTGAACATTTAGTTATATGAACAGAATCTAAAAGAATGTGCAACTCCTGCAAAAAGACATATTAACAAAGCTCTTTCAAGGAAACTATTCTGTGTATGTGCGTGTGTGCCTTCAAGTCAGTGTTGACTCCTGGCAACTGCCTTTTCTTGGCAAGATTTTCAAAAGTGGTTTGTCCTTGCCTTCATCTTCCTCCGGCCGAGAGAGAATGACTGGCCCAAGGTCATCCAGCTGCCTTTGTGCCTAAGATGGGACTAGAACCCATGCCTCTTTAAAGCATATGTTTTTACAATGTCCTATGCTTACTAAGTTTTGGAAGAAAGTAGCGAACTATATAAATATGATTGTGGGACAAAAGCTAAAATTTTCAGAGGATAATATTCTTTTCAACTATATACCTAGTACATGGAATTTGACATTTGGGCAACGTAAATGGATTCTCCTTGCCCTTACTATGGCCAAAAGACTGATATTGCAGCATTGGAAAGATGAATGTATGGCCTCATTTATTCAATGGATTGAAGACCTGATTGCACTTGCCACTTATAAGCAGATTGTCTATAGATGTAGACTTTGTACAGACAAGTATAATGAAATATGGGACTCATTTATACAAAATACAGTAGGTTAAAAAAAAACACGATAGTCATATAAATCTATTACAAATATATATACGTACTTGAATAATATTTGCATTAGTTAAGCATATATAGAATTGTAATTGTTCACTGTTATAATGACATATTAACACTTTTTTTTGTTTTTGTTATATTTCACTTTTTTGTTAAAGCACTTTTTAATGTTTTTTCCTCTTTTTGTAATTAAAAAT